TTTATTTTTTTTATTTTATTTTTTTTATTTTATTTTTTTTATTCAAAATTAATGTAAAACATAAATGTGCGAGTATTGAAGAACTGACTGAGTGATTCAATTCAGCCAAGCAATTAGACCAGATTCTGCTGTTTTTATTTCCCCCTGGTTTTGGCTGTTATATTTTTGTGTCAAAGGTGGAAAGAGTTCTGCTAGTTTGTGAGTCCACACCTTACTAGTCTGTCTCTGTCAGTTTGGAAACGAGACAGGTGAGGCTTATAAAGGTGAGACAAAGCCTGGCTTTGTGGGTGGTTTTTTTCCTTGCTTTTCTTTCTCTGTCTCTGTCTCTCTCTCTCTCACTTTCCTTTTTCTTTCACTAGCGGTGTTGCTGAGATAAAGCTCCTGCCGTTGCAACACGTTTCCATGCTTTCTCTTGCCATGGATATGCATATTACAGCCTCAGTGTAACTGAAGCCAGCAGCCTTAGTCTCCGTTGAGCTTGCAGCATTGATTTAAAATCTGGGATAGACTTCATACATGTAAAATAACAAATTCTTTGAAAAATGTTCTTCAAATCCACTTTAGATACTCATGTTCTTTTGATAACCAATTTGAAAGCATGTGAGAGTGTAAATGAGCAGCAGTAGTGCAGCCGCTGAGACAAAGTGACTTGAATTTCAACAAACTGCCTGGCTGTTTGTTTGTTTGTTTGTTTTTTTCATTCCCAATCCCCCCTCATGTGCACAGTTCAAGTCTTTTGTCTCTAGGAGTCTGTGATCGGTCACACATTCTCTTCTCTATATTACATTACAAATTCCACGCGTGTCGCTCGTGTCCTGACGGTCTGTCAGATGCCGTTCATGACTCACATGTTTGGATTTATTCCTCGCTACAGCAGCTTACCGCTGGAACTTCACTCTGTGATGGAATGCGAACACATGCACCACTCACACCTTTGACTGTTATGATTGATGACTTTTTGAAGTTTATATTGTATATTAATTGTTGGTTAATATTTTTAATTAATTAAAAATACAAAGCTGCATACAAACTATTTATAACATTGATAGTAATTATATAACAATTCATGTTTTTTAATCGGCATATTAGAATGATTTCTGAAGGATCCTGTGACACTGAAGACTGGAGTAATGATGGCGAAAATTCAGCTTTGCATCACAGGAATAAATTACATTTTACAATATATTCAAATAGAAAAGAGTTATTTTAAATTGTAATAACATTTCACAATATTACTGTTTTTACTTGGTGAGCATAATTGGTGATTTACTTTCAAAAACATAAATTAAAATAGTTCAAAAGTTGATTTTTAAAAAAATAAATTAATACTTTTATTAAACAAGGACACATTAATCAGTGTCAGAAAACTTTTGTAACATTATAAATGTTCACTATTTCAAATAAATGCAGTTCTTTCTCTTCATCAAAGAATCCTTTATCACGGTTTCCACAAAAATATGAAGCAGCACTCTTTTAATTTCTATTTTGTAATATATAAAAATGATGTAAATATTTGTAGATTACATATTTTGATGAACTCAACTGGATAACAGAACTTTTTTTTTCTTTTATTTATTAAAATAAATTAATACTTTTATTAAACAAGGACACATTAATCAGTGTCAGAAAACTTTTGTAACATTATAAATGTTCACTATTTCAAATAAATGCAGTTCTTTCTCTTCATCAAAGAATCCTTTATCACGGTTTCCACAAAAATATGAAGCAGCACTCTTTTAATTTCTATTTTGTAATATATAAAAATTATGTAAATATTTGTAGATTACATATTTTGATGAACTCAACTGGATAACAGAACTTTTTTTTCTTTTATTTATTTGTTTTGTAGATTGATTGCTTGTCAATTTAATGGTTAATTTAGGAATAAATAGCAGTTACGTTTGTTTTGGATGTGTAATTCCTATTTTAACACTGTATTATTATTATTTTCTCTTTTCTAAAGGATCCCAGACACTTGCAGTTCATAGCAGAGTTCGGTGACAGTGACGTCTACACGTTATTATCTGCCAAAAAAGTTTACGGCGCCCCGACAGACTACGGCTTCTGTGTGAAGGTAATTCAGTGCAAAGACTTTCAGTCTTCAAATCACACAGTCTTTTGGCTTTTTGTACATGCTTTATAATTAATCTCACTGTAATATTGGATTATACACAATTGCAGCAGTCGAGGTCAGTGTTACCAGTGGTTTTATGATATAATAAAGCCTCATTATGTCTCCGATTTATTGTTTATTGTGGGTTCTATAAAACTGGCATCAAGCAATCTGTCTGGCTCCTTATCTTTCGTGAACTTTGTAATGTTTCTTTAGTGTTAAAACATTGATCTCTGCTCTGACGTGTGACAGTGGGAATATTAGAAAAATATATTGTAAAATCTATGTATTGTATTAGTTAAAAGATGATCGCTGTTTCACAATCATGACTGCTTTATGGATACTTACCAAATAAATGAAATGAAATATTGCTTTTGTTATTTAAGACAGTGAAACAAGACAATTGAAACTTTAGAAAAGCTTTTGGGAGCTTATACTTATAATTATACACTTTAGCATCATGAAAAATATTCGACAAGACAAAGTAAGTTTATTTATATAGCGCATTTCATACACAATATTAATTCAATGTGCTTAACATAAAAATGATTTTTTTTTTTAAATAGCGATCATAAAAATGCACACGAGATAAAAGCAATAACAAATAAAAATAAATTGTTTAAATTAAAGAAAAAATTGATAAATTAAAAAGAAAAAAGTATACATTGAAATTAAAATAAGAGACATATGAAAGATACATTTTTTTTTTAAAGGACTGTTCATTCAAGACGATAAATGAAAGATCTTATTTGAAAGGAAAACTGAGCTCTAAAGTGTAGATGTCTCCTCATATCCAGGCATGCAAGTCGAATTCTGCACGTGACCTGAAGCTGCTCTGTGCAGATGATGAGCAAACCAGGACATGTTGGGTTACAGCCATGCGCCTCTTCAAGGTGAGAACTGCCTCTCTCTCCCTCGGTCTCATTGTAAGGTTTGTTCCCATTGCACCTCTCAGCGACAGTGGTCCTGCTGCGTCCTCAATCTGAGGCTCTCTGTTAAAATGCACTTCTGACACTCCTGACACAATAAATTGCAAAAACATAGCAGCCAGAATTCATTCATTTTCAGTTAGGTTTGACAATTTTTGCCGACGTGAGTGGCAAAGTGATATCGTTATTTTTGTTCATATGCATATGCATCACTGAGATTTATATACATTACATTGCAATGGACTACTTAAAAACACGCACACAAATGGAATAATTCTCTGACTAATTGTCTTGTTATCAGTATGTTTATTTCTGAAGCACTTCAGAAGTAATTGTTTATCTTTGCAGTGTCCAGCTATCTTTCTCCATTGATGCTTATTCAAAAGTAGCTATGTTTTTTTTTTTTTTTTTTTTTTTTTGCATTCAGCAATGTTTTTAACTTGAGATGTTATGCAGCTTTAGAAGCAGCATTTAGAATAAATGTATACCACCATTCAAAAGTTTGGGGTTGGTAAGATTTTTTTAAAAATATTTTCTATTATAGTATATTTTAAAATGTAATTTATTCCTGTGATGTAAATCTGAATTTTCAGCATCATTACTCCAGTCTTCAGTGTCACATGATTCTTCAGAAATCATTCTAATATGCTGATTTGCTGAAATCAGAAGCCTTTTGAGGTTCCATTTCAGTTAGGATGCTCCCTCAGAAGGCAGCTGCCTATGTAGGCTGTAGGGTTGTGACGGTGAGGAAATTTTCCCACCGGTTAATCGACGTGTGACATGAGCAGCTGATTCATGTAACACAGCTCCCCTCCTCGACCCAATACCATCCTCCTGACACACACACATAACCATAATTAACAACAATCACACGCAGAGATCATCTTTGACGTATATGTCATAAACGCACTTGTAGATCTGGAGCAGAAGGCACAGAGCAGTCCTGTAAAAAGGAAGAAATGGGCCGACGTAATCCAGCATGGACAGGAACTCCACTATCCAGGGCACTGTCAGAATGGTGCGTCTCCGATGCACTGAACTCCTCAACACCGCACACACATCCAGCAATGGAGAGCTCTGACAATATACATATATAAAAACAAATTAGGTTGTGAAACATACTAGCTTCTAGGCCAAAATAAAATCTTGCCGGCTGTAGGGTTGTGACGGTGAGGAAATTTTCCCACCGGTTAATCGACGTGTGACAACACCGATAATACCGGTATCACCGTGGGGGCAGGAGCGTTTCCTCATTTCCTCTCTTTCCTTCGCTTTTAAATAGCTTGCAAAAGCGGCGTGCGCATTTCACTTTCACTTTCAAATAGCGGCAATTCGGCGTAAAGCAATTGTTTGTTTTTAGTTCGTTTGAATTTTCCCTCTTTTCCTCGCTTTCCTTCGCTTTTAAATAGCTTAAAAGCACCGTGCGCATTTTACTTTCGAATTAGCGGCAGTTAGGGAACAAATGTTTAAAAAAACTTCCAAAATCACCTTAGTTAAACGGCAAAAGTCAACAGGCTTTTCAAAATCCCAAAATACTGCCAAACAGGCGCTTTTGCATTTCGTTTCGAAACTAAATCATCCGCCAACGTCTTGTCTGTCTCACCTCACTCTTCTTGTGAATCAGCTCGACTCACTCTCCTCACTGGAGAAATGAAATCTGATCTGTGATGCGACTGTCGTTCGGCACGCTGCATTGAGCAGCCGCGTTCAGTTTTTAATTGTAGTGTCTGTTCTTTTACTGAACTAAATTATTTTTATTACTATAAAAAAATCTAAACGACGGTGGGGGTCGGTGCCGCGGTGGGCAAGTGACGTAACCGGTGTTGCGGCTTAACAACGGTATCACCGTCAGAACCGTCTATCGCGGCAAGCCTAGTAGGCTGTGGAACAGAGCTGTAATGTGTGTTTGTTTGTTTGTTCACAGTACGGCATGCAGCTTTACCAGAACTTCATCCAGCCCTATCAGAAGCAGAAGAGTTCTCCAATGGTGAGCCACAGACTCTAGTCCATAATCTGTCATGTATGTTTAGCACAGCAGAATGTTTAAACCACCGAGAAGCTCCACAATAACCATAAACACACGTTACAGTCGTACAGTGGAAACCAGCACTGAAATACTGTCATTTTTGCTCGGCACATCCTTGGCAGGTTTCTTTTTTTCATTAGAAAGCACTTTATTGTTTTAAAAAGACTCAAAAAGGTTCAAGGCTAAAAGTTCAAGATGTAAACTAAATTTAACAATGGTTGCTTAAAATTAAACTTGTTTTCTCTTGTTTTCTTGGTCTTGAGGAAACAAGTAATTTCTTAACTCAATATCCTGCTGCATCATGAATGAGTGAACTGGGTTTTAGTCTGATGTGTGTAAGTGATATTCAGACTTCTGAAGCAGTGTCTGACACTTAAGATGAAGGCTGTAACACTATCATCTTAGACACTATAGGGTCAGTGCGGTCAATTTCATCGCCAGCCAACTCCAGAGACCAAAATGTCTGCATGCTTATAGAATGATGTTTGACAGATGATGATTAAATGGTTTGCAGATGACTAGAAAAATGGGGAGCTGCTGTGAGAAAATGAAGTTGAGATTACAAGAAAACAGCTTTTGTTATTTCAAGATTGCTAGAAAATAATGTGATCATGAGAAAACAAGACAGGAGAAAATAATAATGCATGGTCTTTGATGGCCTCCATATATTTCATAATAAAAATTACACCTATTTATTACACCTATCTATCTATCTATATATATATATATATATATATATATATATATATATCCTTTTTTCAGCCCCAAAATAAAAAAATAAAATAACATTTTGATTAAAGACCGATTTTAATTGTTTTTATTTATTTATTTTTTTGTTTACAATTTAGCACATTTATTCCAAAATTCTTATTTGTTGTGCTTTGTTGATTTTTAAAAAATATATTTAATACATTTCCTTTTTTAAATGCATTTACGTTCTCATAAAATAAAATCATAATGTAAAAATCATAATTACACCTTTATTACACCTATATATATATATATATATTTGCAATTTAGTTATGAGAATTAGTTTTTTTTGCAATACTGTAATTAAAATTTACATTATTTTTTGAAGACAATTTTGCATATTTCATATGTGCTCAATAAATTAATTATTCTGTATTCACTATCATCCGGTTGATTAAAACCTAATTTATCAAAACATGAAAAGCACCTAATTTAACGAAGTTGTTTTCCGAATATTTGTAGGCTACAGCCACTTTTTTTTTTATTTATCATGAAAATAATGTCACTGTGCAAATCAATCACAGCATTAAAAACAATGAGCTCCACTTATACGCTACACAAAATATGCTAACTATGATTTCTTATTTCTTTTATTTTGGGGCTAAGTATGACACGGAAGTGTTCTTGACGGGTTTCGTGAGATTCAGCTCTCCGTGTGTCTGGATTTGCTTTCTTTCACTTTGTTCCTCAAACACAAAGAAGCAGTTGATGCAGAATGAGGTGAAGCTGTTGTGTCTTTGTGGAATTATTCTGTCATCCAGTGTCATAAACCCTCACCGCTCGTGTATTAGTGCGTTTGTATGGATACGAACACATGGCTGAGATTAAGGACCTTTCAGAAGTCATAATCACTGCTTCTCTCGCTATAGGCATCACTGTGGAAGAAAATGCTTCTTTTGTTTGATAAGTGAGTGTGCTCTTGAAAACCAGCACAGCTGTAAGCCCTTCACAACTCAACATTCTTAAGAGGCGCCTGAACAAAGTAACCAGTTTTCATGTAGAAAAATAACAAAATCCATCTCAAACTAAGACCAGAGAGAGTGAGCAGATCAAATATGGGGCTGAATTCATAGAGGAGTTCAAATGACTATTCATAGATTCATAGAATTTATAGATGATCTAATAACACTATTATCTTCTGTAGAGCTGCTTTACAGCAGAAATTTAATTTGTTTATAATTTATGCATTTTGCAAACATTTTACATTAACATGGATCCACATGAACATGTATCACAGAGTCAGGGTTATTATAGTTAACTAAAACTAAAACTGAAGCTAAATGTAAATATTGATATTATTAAAGGTAGGGAAGGCGATTTCGGAGAGGCTAGCAATAGCAAGCTATAGATTTGAAAGCATAAGATCTCACCCTCCCTGCAAATCACTCTCCAAAGCCACGCCTCCTCCAAAACACATGACCGCGCACAGACAGACCAGAGACTAACCAGCGACACGATGAGAGACGGCGTTGGTGTAGGATTTAATGCAACCCTGTCAGATTACCTCATGTCTCATTCACCGGTGAGAAAACATTACAGTACAAAGAGCATAATATTACAATAATAACACCTTCCATTCTCAATGGAATGCACTGATGACGGATCACGTCTGAGCGAACAGGGTGCGTGGAGGTATGCAAATACATTAGGTAGGACAGCCTATCATAGCCCTCGGACCGAGGAATTTGATTGGACAAACATTTTATGGTCCTACGCCTTCCACAGACTATATTAATACATATAAACTAGGGATAAGAAGATTCCCTGATTCGCTCGGTGCATCGGCATAAAAAGTGTGCATCGGCTACAAGTTGTCATTTATATCGCGATGCATCGTTTCTAACATATTTGCATCGGTAAAAACCGATTTATTTATATATAATTACTAATAGATGCGCTATACTTTTATTATTTAGAACGTGACCAATAATATGTGACCAATATTTTATATGTAGATTGATTTCTCCTCGCTAAACTGTTTCTCAAGCGCGCTCTCTCATCACTGCTGCATGAATATGACGCATCACAACACCACGGAGACCAAAACCTGACCTGAAACAACCTAACAAATCAATCGGGGCTAAAGCTGTTCCATTAACGACAAATTAAATTCACACAATCTCACTAATTTGTGCACGCTTATTCTTAAGCAGACCTTAATGTCGATCATGG